GTCGCACGCAGTTGGAAGACATCCCATGCTTCTTCTTTTTCCAGGTGGTAGCGTAGTTTTGAAGTATCCAACTCACCCTCTTTCCAAAAACTTTGGATATCCCTCTTACCGTCGGTGGTTTGTCTAATTTTGAAATCTAACCCGTCTTCTTCATTAACTACAACAAGCCATATGAAGTCTCCTTCCCAATCTACTGCACCATCCTTCTCAAAGATGCGGAAGCCTGGCGCTTCAGTTGAAACATACATTTTTGCAGGTCTTAAAGGATCGTCATCTGGAATCTCGAGATCCAGGAACAAGACTTTCGCGGAAGTCATTCCATCTTCGAGGAATCCGTACGAGAAGATGTTCTCACAAGCACCTTTATCGTCACCATACCTACAGTCGTCAGCACAGCAGATTGATTGGTTCATGGCGACGCACGTGATTGTCACTTCGCCGCCTTGTTCAATTGCTTTCCCCTCTCGGAGTAGAAGCAGGCCATTTCCGTCGCCATCCGTCTCATACAAGGCGGCGGTGGCATCGCCTGATGCGTGATTGGCCATGTCGACGCATGGCATCATGCAATCTCCAGTGCCTGGAAACTCTAATGCTCGAGATCTGTACATGGCATCGACACGCATCCAGTCATCGAAAGTGAGCATTCCATTGTTCTCGTCCCACCAGTACTTTTTGCACCACGGAATAGACTCTGTAGCGGTGCGCAGGTTCTCGAATTCGCGCAACAAACTGTTGAGCTTTGCGCTAACCGCAGACTTGAGCGTTGTTCCGACTAGAAGCTCCCGCTCCTCTTCTGTCCAGAAGGTGGGGAGCAGCTCGTCTGGAAGGAATTTGATGTACTCTGTGAGAGGGTTTAGTACGCCCACATCCTTTGTATCAGGACAGCAAATAGTAGCCTGGAGAAGCAAGAAGGAGAGCACGGCGCCTCGTGTTGTCTGCGAAGTGTTACTATCACGAGCAGTTGACGGGCTACCAGAGTCTATCACGCACCCTTCCGAAGTCCCCAAGAGCTTCGAGAAGATTGGATAAATGATGGTCCGACTTGGCAACCAAGTCTATGTTTTGACGAGAGATGATCAACTCTTTAGGCACTATGAGGAGAGGTTCAATGTTGCTTCCTTGAAGGGTGCGCTCAGCGATGACGGTCGATCCTCTCTCCTCGTAACCAGGCAGGGGTCCGATTTTGACATTGTTGAATTTGATGCCGTTAAAAGTGGCCCAGGTAGGCAGCGCATCGATGGGCCGTATGAGCCACCCTTCGTTTCTGCCTCTTCGTATCATTTCCGCAAGGCGAGATTTTCTGCCTGAGTGCGGTAGATGTTGCTTGAATCAAGTGTGGGGAATGGTGTGGTAGTGGTTGTCAGGCGATGTTCCTAAGAGTGCATAGGGCACGTGATCCCGGACGGCTGAGTGCCTTATCGATACCACACGTCAAACGTACCTTGCCGGACAACGGCAGTCAACTTTAATAGTACGGAGTACGAGTGCGGGTTCGAGTGTTTGCAAATTAGGTGAGGGCGTTGTCTTTGAGCGAGCTAGCCAATCCAAGTCAAGATGGGTGTTATTGCCATCACTATGGCAGCGGCGGCATGTCTGCAATTACGGCATGGCTCGAGACAGCGACAAGCGGTGGCACTGGACCCTGTGAGGTCATGTGTACAGAAGGACAGCTGCAGGAGATGAGGGATGGTGTTGGTTTCCCAAGAGACGAGAGCGGCCCAGGCCGAGCAGATGCAGGCTACGAGTGGACAGCAAAGCGATGCATGAGCTGGAGCATAACAACGGGCCCTGCGGCGGAGACGCTGTAGGGGAGAGGTCCGCTCGAGCCTTGTTATGATGGCGCTCGGGCCCCTAGGCTCAGAGTTGTTGTGATGCTGTTGGCGGGCGTCCCGAAACCAGCGAGTGGAGCTAGTGGCCGAGTCCGTGCACCAGTAAACAACAACAACATAGGCATGTTGCTTAAACTTGCTACCACTTCCGCTCGTCGGCCATCTTTACAATTATTCCTTAACCCAGACCGCAGCAGGAACAGTAGACGGCAAGCCCGCCGCCACGCCGCCAGCCTCTCCACCACAGCTCCCCTCTCCCCCTCTGGTCCTCAGCTGCGTCGCGCTGCCGACATCGCCGCTTTCGTCCCAACACCTCGTGCGCAGTCCTTCGTCAGTCGTCAGTCGTCGCTTCCCCAGTCGGAAGAGACCAGTACTTTGAGAGTCGCAGCTTCTGCTTCATGCCCTCTCCCCGCGAGCGAGTCGCCAAAATGCCACGCGCGTCCACGACCAGCTACGGCCAGGTCATCGAGGTAGGAGCACAACAAACGCCAAAACAAAACACCATTGGCACTCGTGCTGATCCACTCGCTCTCTAGTACATCCAGGACCGCCTCTACCTGGCTTCATACACGTATGCTCCAGATGCATCCACACCTTTCCCCTATCCAAAGCAGTCGCAGTCGCCGTCGAAGCGCTCATCGCGCGCACATGGTGGCCCTACCGTTTCCGCCCACAAGGCTCTTCCCCCCGTCTACTTCAGCATCGACAAGACGCTGCTGTACAATGCCTTCCATGGCGACTTTGGCCCGCTGCACATCGGTCACCTGTACCGATTCGCCGTCCAGCTGCACGAGGTCCTAGGCGATCCCGCCAACGAGGACCGCGCAGTTGTTTTCTGGAGCAACGCCGATTCAAGGAGTAAGATCACTCCACCGTTGCCGCTTTTGCGTCCCTATTGACATGCTTAGGTCGCGCAAACGCTGCCTGTATCTTGGCATGCTACATGGTCCTCATCCAGTCGTGGCCGCCTCACCTTGCCCTGGCACCAATCGCCCAGATGGATCCCCCTTGCATGCCCTTCCGCGATGCCGGCTACAGCCAGGCCGACTATGTTCTCAACATTCAGGACGTCATCTACGGTGTATGGAAGGCTAAGGAGGAAGGCCTCTGTGGACTGAAGGACTTCAGTCTGGAGGAGTATGTAACCTACTCCTACTCGTACTGATTGTTGCTAACCCTGTCAGGTACGAAAAGTACGAGCGCGTAGATATGGGAGACTTCAACTGGATCACCCCCGACTTCCTTGCATTTGCCTCGCCGCAACAAAAGCCCACCCACGAAATCCCTACCTCTTCGCCCATGTATGCAACACTTCCTTCCAACATCGCTGAGGTCCAAAGATCCGACCTTCCCAGCCCCTTCAAGAATGTGCTTTCACACTTCTGTGCGCGCAACATCGGCCTCGTCGTTCGCCTGAACTCGGAGCTGTACTCTTCCTCATACTTCACCAAGCTGGGCATTCAGCATCTCAACATGATCTTTGACGATGGAACATGCCCACCCCTATCGCTAGTCCGCAAGTTTGTTAATCTTGCGCACGAGATGATTACGGTACAAAAGCGAGGCATCGCCGTTCACTGCAAAGCTGGTCTGGGCCGAACTGGTTGCCTCATTGGAGCATATCTGATCTACAAGCACGGCTTCACTGCGAACGAGATCATTGCGTACATGCGCTTCATGCGCCCGGGAATGGTTGTTGGTCCTCAACAGCACTGGCTGCACTTGAACCAGGGCACTTTCCGAGAGTGGTGGTACGAGGACACCATGAAGGCCAAGTATGCTCAAATGGTGCCTTCCACACCTACAAAGTCGCCACACAAACAACGCCTCGCTAGCAACGGGCAAACATTTACTCCTCCCAATGGATCGCAGAAGCGCGCGGCCCTGGGCGAGATTGAATCGAACGAGCGAAGCAACTCGGGACACATTGGTGTACTGGATGACAACCTGCCGGCACCGACACCAGGCCAGCCGCGAAAGACTAGCAAGCTTTACGGCAATGGATCACGACAATCACCACAGCGTATCGACGAAAACGAGCCATTCACAAAGTCGCACACCGAGGTCAGGGCAGAGATTACACGCTTCGATGGCGAGTCAGACGAGGAGTTCCACCTCCGCCAGATCGCGCGGCGAACATCGTCGCGTTCACCCGCGCGCTCGCCTACCCTGAAGGACAAGCAGCGCCGCGCCTTCAGCACCACCTCGGTCATCCAAACTTCGGTGACACATACCTCTTTTGGTTACGGCGAAGAGAGTGATCTCGAGAACACGGCACCAGCTGGTGCGCGACCAAAGACACCCAAGGACAAGAGCGGCAATGGTAGCATCAGCATGACCAAGGTCCGCTCGAGCCCTTCACGGCGAAGCACAGACGGCAAATCTGGCGTACGGAAAACCAGCGGCCGCGTTGGCAGTGTTGGCAATGCCATCTCACGAACCAAAGCATAAGGGACGTTTCTGGATTTCAACTTCTGAGTCTCCATCTTCATTACACGGAGTTTCTAGCATGGCGCCTTGGGACACACCACATTTGTTACGATTGTGCTCGCTTCGTTTTCTGTCCAAGTCAATTCCTCGTCCATCAGCATGCCGTCGGGCCCGGCGCCGCAAATGTTTTTTTTAATGGGAGTTGGCGTTTCTGGATAGGCTAATATCTGTGCATATTGGTCTCTGGGATATCTGTCTGCTTGAACACTTGGCTGGGTGCGGCGCACGGAGTGTTCGTTTTCTTCTTCTTCGACTTCACTTTTTCTACTGTCTCGTCACCGGCCACGGTTTCTTGCACGACTTTACTGTAGTCTTGTCCCTTTTCGCGGTCATCTAGCTGCGGATATGTTCATGACGTGTATGAGTTAATGATGAGCGTAATCTCAACTGTTCAAAAGAAATTCTTCTCTAGCTTAATCTGGTTGATGCGTGATGCATAGCAGTTTGTGTGATAACTAGTACATATGTTAACAAAAATACGATAGGGTCGGGTACAGCAGTACAGAATGCATAGACTCTGCAGGTGACGAAGCTGTTCTCTATAAAAAGTGCACACCAAGCCCTCGCACGTGATAAGCCAACTGTATATCACGTGATGTATATCGCTCCACCAAAAAAAAAACATCTTCTCCACCACAACATCTTGGATGTTCAGGATACGAATTGCTTTCTTCTTATCTGCGATCGATGTGGGACTCGAACCCACAGCCTTGGCCTTTGAAGTTCTGCAGTTTTGAGGCTGCATTACTATAGGAGGGCCACGCGCTACCATTGCGCCAACCAACCTTGATTCAAGTGTCATGAAGCATTGTTGTGTGGTATTTCGTAGATATACTTGGGCCTTTGACAAGCAAATGAAGCATGTGGGTTTGTACTGCGAGTTTTCTCCTACATGAAGATTTTTTTTTGACAGGGGGTTTATTTTTGGCGGGATGGAAGACTGTGTGTACAATGTGGAGATTTGCACGGCGCTTTGGGAAACTCCAAAGTGAGCGATAGCAATTTAGGAGGGTACGATAAATCGATCTGAAATTGCTGGACAAGCGGGGATTTTCAAGGGTTGTAATCACAGCGCTGGGTTAAGAGAGGAAAAGCGAGCGCTACTCCAAACGTTGTACCTGCCAGCATCATCTCGCTACACATAACTCTTCTGAAAGTATTATCTCCTCATCGCCGTCCACAAAACAGTCGGTCACCAGATTATCCTATCATCCCAAACGCATGTACTTGTACGTAAGTAGTGATTCGTCCAACCCAAACGATGACGCGATCGCAAGTTTTATACCCAGTCTAACCCTATTCAGCACACCAACCACTTTCTCCCATCACCAAACAGTCATGCAAACAAGCATCCAGTGAGTTAGTCGCCTCGCTAACTGTTGTGTTCCACTGCTTTGAAATCAAAGATTCACAAGAGTAACCGAAGGGAATTAAAAAAAGAAAACACATTCCCAAGGCTGGAAATCTCAAGCTGAGTTGTGTGTTTGTGTGGGTTCTTCTCTTCCGGCAAGTCTCGGCGATCGCTTTAAAGAAATCAAAGTGTGTGCATTTCCAAGTGTATTTGTGTGAAAAAGAACGTGCTTGATAGCTGAGATATCGACATCATGGTACGTTTGTTTCTTGTCTCACCATGGTCTGGTGTTATTGGTTGCTAACGCCATCATCACAGGTACACGCCGATTCATCTACTTTTGCCGAGGGCATGAGCAAGAAAGAGGTATATGGACAGGTTCTAGAGCAAGCGAGAGCGCTGTTTGACGGGCAGCGGAATTGGGTATGTATGCACCGAACTGAAGGGAGGTTGTAGACGCTAACATTGGTTCCAGGTCTGGTGAGTTATTCCATCCGGTCCCAAGTAGCGGAATCCATTGAAGAAAATATCTGACACGACTTTTCAACGACAGCAACTTCTCAAACGCAGCTTCCCTTCTCTGGCATGCGTTCCACTCGCTCCCTGCTCCTTCCTCAGCCGTCAACTGGGCAGGCTTCTACTTCACCGACCCGTCAAATCCCTCGCAGCTGCTTCTTGGTCCTTTCCAGGGCCAAGTAGCGTGCCAGGTTATTGCGTTTGGCCGCGGTGTCTGTGGTAAGGCGGCGCAAGAGGCAAAGACGCAGTTGGTGGAGGATGTGGAAAAGTTTCCCGGGCATATTGCATGTGACGGAGCGAGTAAGAGCGAGATTGTGGTGCCGATTGTGAAGGAAGGGAAGGTATGTTACTTTGGTCTTCTTTCTTTCTTGGGGGGTTTGACTATCATTTCTAACTAACGTTCAATTAGGTGGTAGCGATTATTGACATTGACTGTGCAGAGCTTAACGGCTTCACCACTGAAGATCAAGAGGCGCTGGAGGAACTGGCGAAGGTGCTTGCTGAGTCATGCGATTTTTAGGGAAATAATGGGGTTGGTGCAGAGGCGTGGTTTCGATAAACCCTCCATTCTCCGCCATGAAGAGTTGGATTGATTCGGGGAAAAGTATATTTTAAGACGTTGTGTACAATAAGAGAGACAGTTTGGCGGGTGCAGGAGGACAAAGCTGCTGTAGAAGGTGTGCAAAGCCTTCAACAGTGCTCATGCTCGCAACAAAGGCTTTGTGTTATTGAGAACAAGAAATAATGGGAAGCAAGGAATTCGTATTATTATGAAGAATATTTGAAGAACTATGCATTATTAAATATCAAAACATGAGAGCGCATATTCCCAATCCAAAACTCACACATACCAATCACGCAGATGAAGAAACACGGTCTGTACTGTCGCCTCAGGGCTGTTGTCAAAACACTTTTTCGACCTAGAGTTGACGCTGCTACTGGAAAACCCTGCCGGCGCAAGCTACAAAAAGTTCGACGCCAAAAGTGCGTTGTTCCAGAGGTAAATGTGAACCTGGAAGGCCTACGTTCAGGATTTCATTGTAACCGATGCCAGTGCCTGCGGCAGGTTTTCATATCTGACGGAGGCACAAGTGTAGTAAGTCAGAATAATCCACTGTCTTAAAAACCAGAGCACTAATGGTAAAATAGCTGCTGAAGAAACCAGAAAACGCAGTGAGATCTTCGTCTCTTGATCATGGATGCCCAGACCTTACAAATACAACTGTATCTGTAAACAAGTCTTTGCATGACATGGCTTCAGTCAACACCTATATGGATGAAGTGCTAGATCAGGCCACTTTGGCCACTGCTGTACACATGACAACAGCGACTCCTGCCACAGTCTACATCTCACACTCTGCCAAGAGAAAGCAACACCCACGAGGTTGCAGGAGTGGATCAACATCCGCAAATGGGATCGAGCCTGAGATGCCTTTTCCTACAGACGTTGTGATTGAGCTCGATCTAGTATCGCTGGAGAAGTATCTCCAGAAGCTGGTCCGTGAGGCTAAGAACGGAAATGTAAAATGCCAGACCCAGCTTCTGGCACTGTACCGTGAGGTGTTGGCTTCAGATGGACTATCTCAGTCTCGCTGGAACAGCCCCCAGCGTCGTCTCATATGCAAAGCGCGACTTGTTCTAGGCCTTGAAATGCAGAGAGCAGCTGGACGCGTAGCAGCCGATGTTGTAGGCAAAGTCTCGGCACAACTCTCTTTTAAAGGTAACGAGGAGGCGACCATGCACAAAGAGGAGTTTGCCGCTTATATCCGTCGTTTGGTCGACCACGGCGAGATGTCTGAGACACGAGCGTACCAGATATTGCTCGTGTCTGTGTTTGCTGAAGAGCAGTTAGTCTGATAGACAAACGTGTTAGTTTTACCAAACCTGGGATGCCCCTAGTCCCGTCCCACGTGGAGCCCGATCATATGTGTAAGAGTTTAGTCACTATCCCAGTCGGGTCCACCCAGCGCGCCGGCGTGCATGCAGCGAGCCTAGACGTCGCGGATCGTAGGCCACGATGCAAACCCTGGGGGTGAATGGCGTCTTTGTTAGACAGCTTGGAGCCCAAAGGAGACAAAAAGTCACAAGACTGAGTTCGTCCGGCTAGGCCCCCGGCCTCATTCACAGCACGGGCGGGGTAACAGACGGACGATCAGATACATGGCCTGGCTGAGGATGGCGGCCGACGCACGGTACAGGCCATGCGTGGTAGCTACTTGGGTACTTTAGATAGCATCGTGGCCTGCTCCACCGCCGCCCTTGTTGTTGTTGCAACCATCGCCCCCCAATTCGCAATCCCAAACCGCCACCGCTTGCTACGCGCTGTCACACTGTCGTTGTCGCTGTCACCCCTTCCCGGCGTCAAGCGTCCAGCGTCCAGCCTTCCACGCCCGCCAATTGGCACTGCCGCTTGCACACTTGCTCACCCCGCCGTCACTCTCGCCCGACGTCATCACACCTAGCCCCATCTCCCTCTTGCTTTCTTCCAGCGCCTCCCCTTGGCCTTGTCTACGTGCATTTCTTCCCCCCGTATTGTTGATCCTCCAGCTTCGCTCATCTCCGCTTCTCGCTCCCCCCCTCTCTGCACCCGCACCCGCACCCGCCTTCGCCGCCACCCGGTACGTAAGCAGCGCCGCAATCTCCCAAGCTGGCAGGTAACAGGCGCCGGAGCGCCCAGGGCGGCTTGCTCTCGAAGATGTTCGGGAATGCAAAAGACGATGAAGGTTCCGCCATAGAGACCCCTGCAACCAGCGACGCGCCCAGGCCGGCTGCCGCATCCACGACCGACACACACGGCGCAAGCAACGGCTCCGCTGCGACCGATCGCAAGGGCAGCGATTCTGCTGCTCCACCCGAGAGAAAACGACGGACCAGTGGCGTGTCGCGTGCCCGCGACATGTTCTCGAGCGCGAAGCAGTCGCTGCACTTTGGCGGCTCCTCTCCCACCTCGACTTCGTCGTCCGCCCCCGCTGCCAACGCCCACGCCAACTCGCCCGAGAAGCCAGCTGCCCAAACTCCAATGCAGAAACTAGGCAAGTCGGACGCTGCCCTCAGCGTGCCCCAGGGCTCACTCAATAACTCGGCCGGCGAGTCCGCCCCCGGGCCCCGCTCCACGTTCCGTGTCGGTGTCACCGAGGACAAGAACAAGAAGTGCCGGCGGACTATGGAGGATACACATGCATATCTATATAATTTCCTGAGCACTCCAGCCCCCTCGTATGGCAACGACAAGACGCGTGCCGTTTCGGACGCGAGTTCAGTCCAGTCTGATCCTCTGGCGCAGTCAGTAGTCGAGAGTGACAATGGCTATTTTGCCATTTTCGACGGGCATGCGGGTACTTTTGCCGCCGACTGGTGTGGAAAGAAGCTTCATTTGATATTGGAAGAGACAATTCGAAAGAACCCCAATACACCGATACCTGAACTCCTCGACCAGACCTTCACCGTCGTTGACCAGCAGTTGGAGAAACTTCCCTTGAAGAACAGCGGTTGCACGGCTGTCATCGCGGTTTTGCGATGGGAAGACCGCGTGCCCAACGCACAATCGTCCACTGGCTCTGTCCTCTTTGCTCCTGCGGCCGTCTCAGCCATCAAGCAAGCTGGCGAAGGCGGCGAGGTCAAAGAAGGTACTGATGCTGCTGCTACTACTTCGGAGCCTGCAGCCGAACAAGTAGAAGCCAAACTACGAAGCGAGGCTTCTCGACAACGCGTCTTGTACACGGCGAATGTGGGCGACGCGCGCATTGTCCTTTGTCGAAACGGCCGAGCTCTTCGCCTTTCGTATGACCATAAGGGCAGCGATGAGAATGAAGGACGTCGTGTGGCTAGTGCTGGTGGTTTGATACTCAACAACCGCGTCAATGGCGTCCTCGCTGTCACGCGGGCATTGGGCGATGCATACATGAAGGACCTGGTTACT